AAAAACTCTCTATATATTATAGATACATATATATATATAAATTTTTATGTCCAACCATACTATAAATAACCCCACATTTTTAGTAAGCCCTTTTCACATTTTCCAACACCTCCCTAGTCCCTGCCAGTCAGGGCAGAATGGATGATAAAATAAGATAAAACTAGAGGTTTGCAAACCACACCAATTATGCCCTGTTAACCATAAACACTAACTTGTCGAGGAAAAAAATTTTCACAACCATTTTCTGAGGCCTGTTTTACAGCTATGGGTCTTCTGAGCTCTGCAGGGAAGAAACTGACTGCTGGTTTCCCAGTTTGCTCATTTTGATTTAGTTTTAATACGACAAAATTATCTAGTTGAGCATCACACAGTGAAAGCCTGGTGGGAAATACATAAAATCATAAAAGAAGCTTTCTAAAAGTCACATTTGAAAATTTCTTAACTCAATGCAGTGTCTGTGTTTTTTATCACCAATAAGAAGCCTAGGCAGGATTTTCTGTTTTTTTCTTTATTCTTTTAAGTTAATTATAATAATTTTAAAAGACTTTTTAGCATTGTTTTTTCCTGTGTGGCCTATTGTTTTGTCAGTTCAGCTTCTTTTTTCTCTCCTAGATTTCTTTTATGATATATTTTTAAAATTTACCTTTTCCCTAAACGTTTGTCTTGAAAATTTTCAAACATACAGAAAGTTGAAAGAATAATTAAATGATACAATCAACCCAGATGATCCAATTGTTAACTTTAGCCACATTTGCTTTGTGTATAGCAGGTTTCTAGACATTGGCACTGTTGACATTTTGGGTTGTTTAAGGGGCTGTCCTGTACTTGTGGGATGTTTAATAGCATCCTTGGCCTCTAGTCATTAGATGCCAGGAGTCCCCCTTCCCAAATAGTGACACAGAAATGCCTCCACGCATTGCCACATATCCCTGATACACAATCGCTCTATAATAAACACACACACACCACTTTTGTTGAGCTGAAGTATTTCAAACTAGGTTTTCAGGCCTCATGGTATTTTACTCATAAATAACCACAGCATGTATTTCCTCAGGACATACACCCACTCTAATACAACCACAACTCCGTAATCATACCCAAGAAATTTAACTTTCATACAATTGTGTATTATCTTAATACTCAGCTCAGATCCAAATGTCACTCAATTGATCACAGGAGAGTATGATTTCGAGCTTTTGAATGCTTGTCAATCTGTTAGTGAGAAATATCTTAATGTAGCTTTTTGGCAATGATTTATTTTGAACGTTTTCAAACATACAAGAAAGTTGAGATAACTTCCTCAGTGTAGATTTCATTTGCATTTCTCTTGTCATGAATTAGGTTCATACATTTAAAGGCACCTGTATTTTAAAGTCTTTGCTTTTCTCAACTTTTGAGTGCTTTGTAAATAGAAGTTAGCTCTTTACCTATTGTATATGGCAATGGCAATTATATTTCTCCCAGTTTGTCACTTGTCTTTTGATCTTGCTTGAAGTGGCTTTTTTCCCAAAACTTCTTATTAACGTAGTCAACTTTGTTGATGTTTTTCATTATTGCATCTGGATGATGAGCTTATTATAAAAGGGTTTCCCACGGCAAGACTATAAATAAATTAACTTGGGTTTTTTTTTTCTAGTATGTTTTTAGTTCACTTTTCCATTTGGAGTTTTTCCTGGAGTATGATGTATGTTACAGATCCCAAATGACTTTTTTTTTCAAATAACTGTGCGGTTGTCCTAACACTGTTTTCTAACAAGTCTGTCTTTAACCCAGTCAGTTGAGATGCCACTTTACCCATTAATAAAGTCTACTTGGTTCTATTTCTGAATTTTCAATTATATTCCAAATCTATCCATCTATTCATGCCATACTGTTTTGGTTATAGAGGATATAACAGTATTTCATATTTAATATTTCAATTAATATATTAGTGTTTAATAGGGTTATCTCTCCCCATTGATCCTTTTCCCATCAGATTTTCCTATACATTCATGTATGTTCATTTTTCCATGCAAACTTCAGAATGTTGTCTAGCTTCAAGAAAAACACTTGCTGAAATTTTATGAAAGTAGTGTTAAATTAGGGATAAGTTACATACTTAGGATGTCAAATTATCTTACCGCAGACCAAGGAATTTATCTTGCAGGAATATTTTACGTTATTCCTCATATGGGTTTTGTACATTTCTTTTTAAGTTTATTTTTCAAGTATTTTTATCTTTTATGCTGTTATTGGAAGTGAGATTTCCCCCTCCTTTATCTTGTAATAGGTTACCATCACAAATACACACACACACATACAGACACAGCATTAATTTTTGGACATTAATTTGTACATTTGTAGCTTGCTAACTTATTGAATTCTTTTGTTCATATTAGTGTTATTATTGATTCCCCTGCGGTTTCCAGATGTATTATCACAGGACTTGCAAATGCAGTTTTACTTTTTTAACCCCAATACTTTATGTCCATATTGTTTCCTTGAATGAGTACACTGACTAATGCATCCAGCATGATGTTAAACAGTGAACATCTTTGCTTTGTTCCTTACCTTAGTGGTAATGCTTCCAGTATTTCTCCATCATAACACTTCCTCTTTCTATTAAATATCTAAATCTGTATCTATAATTTGTGTATATATAATCATGTTAAGGGAATATCCATTAATTTCTATTTTATCTAATACTTTTTATTAGGAATGCGTAATGAAATTTATTAAGGGACTTTAAATCTATAAATTAAGTTGTGCATTTCTCACCCAAGAATGTTTAAGAAGTTTACAAATACTATGTTACTCTTCTACACACTATAACAATGGTTTCTTAGGTTGACATAACACGTGTATTTTCTCAGACCCAGAAAACCAACAATATTGAAGATCATATGCTGCAACTTTGAAAAACGTGATGAACAAGCAGCTTTCTTCTCTAATATAATCTTATCTATAATTATCTATTATACAATAATAATATCTTTCATGAATTAAGTACATTTTATGTGGCCATTTACCCATAAAAGTCTTGAAAAGTAGTTTTTGCCATCACTGTTTTAAAGATGCACACATGAAGACTCAAAAAAGCAAAGTAACTTAAATGGTATGAAATAGCTTTTACATGGGGGAGAGAGACTCTGACCCTGGGTCTGACTCAAACTTCTGCCACACAGTTCCTGAGACCTGGTGAATGCTAACCGGCTGCCAGCAGAGGGAGCGCTATTTCTATGGAAACTTAGACAAAGAACTTGAGCCAGAGAGGAAAGAGTTCATTTCAACTATGTTAACTGACTGGAAAA